ATCTCTTCGCTGTCCACGCCCTCCTCTGGAGCTTTGTTTGCTTTGGAACCTGCTCCCGAACCTTCTCCAGAACCTCCTCATGGACCTTCCCCGGTACCTTCTCCCGAACCCTCTATGGATGCAGCTGCCACGACGATCCCCGACCTCAGCCCTGCAGCTGCCGTCGGAAAAACAGCTGGCTTTCGTCCTCCCCCTTCTCAGGTATAAATATAAGACAAACCTTCTCACATCCAAAAAGTCATGCCCAGGCCCGATGAGTTCTTTCGTTTTGGTCTTTGACCGGGCCGGGCCGCCGATCGTCTCGTTTCACCGGTGTTGCCGGTTGGGTCTGGAAAAAAGACGAATGCAGCGAAAGACGTTCCTTCCTGAATTCGTGTTGATGTTTGTTCTCTATTCTCTATGTTCTTTTTTCGGCTGGTATGAGTCATCACGGGAGATACAAGGTCAGCAACTGATTAAGCCGTCTCATGCAGTGTGTTTCTTTGTTTCATTGACGGACCTTGATCCTAGAGTGATGAATTCAGGTGAATGGCATCCATATTTCGATGTTGCCCTATAGCCTATAGCTCTTGATTTGCCCGGTCTTCAGAAGGGGTAGATCATTTATCACGAACGTAGCATGAATGTGGCATTTCTTTGCAGGCTTTCTTCAGTTGAAATGGTACCAAAAGACAGTTCCACTCCTGTCACATGGACTCATTGGAGCACCCATGATCCTCTTTTTAATCACAAAAAAACAATCAGGGCGGATCTGCCTCAAGCTATAGCTTACTTATAGCTTACGTAGTGCTTATAGACATGGATGAGTTGATCCGACTCCAGGGGTTCGGACCAGTGCCGGTTTGCCGCCAACCATCTCAGAGCCAAGGCTCCACGACCGTTCTTCGCCTGGTGGGACAGCTCCACGAGTCTTTGGAGACGGAGCGGTCGTCATTGCCTCAGAAAGTCCGTGGAAGCGGACGAAATGGGTGAGTCACTGGTGGGCTGGTCCATTGAGTTGAGTGGAGTGTCTGGCTCCTTGTTATGATGTTTGCACGGTGTGGCTGCTAGTTTTT